CATATCATTAATTAATTGGGAGTTACAAAATCAAAAAAATTATGATTTTTTTTGTTAATGTAAAAACAATATGAACACAACTATATATATATAGGAATCATTGTGTCAAATACGAACAAAAATTTGACATATATATATGAACTTGGACTGCATAGCATTTATGAACACAATATGAATATAATAAGAATAACTGTTATACAAAAGGAAATAAATAAATAAACAGGTATGAACACGACATGAACAGCTTGTGAACAATAGTTTCTTCATTATAAACACATTCAAGAGCGATATTTTATCAATTGGAGTTTTATACATGCATTGCATCCACACCGTTTAATGTTCACCCCTTGTTCATATATGTTTCTGATCTTATATGGTTGTTCACCCCTTGTTCAATAGTGTAGTAGAAATATCGTAGAAATATGAACACATTATGAACAAGTGATGAACATGAACAATAGTATCGTAGAAATATGAACACAATATGAACGAGTGATGAACATGAACAAGCCACATAGTGAGAGATTATCGTAGAAATAGTATGAACACATAACATATATGCTATGAACACGTGGTGCAATTAAAGAAAAAAAACTATCAATACAAGATGAAATATAAAAAACACAACACATCGTAATGAAAATAATTCATTTTTCTAATAAAAATATTAATTTATTACCAAGACATTCGCTTTGGTTAATTTCTTCACTTCTCGAACTCGAACTCCAATTGTCATCATCAACCATTTTAATTTTCTCACTGTTGTCGATTTCTTTTCCATTGCGTTTATCCATATTAGTTTGATCRATACCGAAAATTTTACTACAGTGTTTCCTATGCGAATTAAAAACTCATAAAACAATGAACATGGAAAATCAAGATTAAAAAATATAAATTATATATATATATATATATATATTATAAAAGCATATGTAAATTGATTTGATGATTTGTAACTCCCCATTAATTGTTTGGGAGTTACATATCAAATCAATTTACTGACATACCCTTGTAATTAACTTGTGAATATGACATAAATCTACTAGAATAATGAAATTTGATTGGTTGATATGGTTTGCAAAGTTAACACAAAATTGTTGGTTAACATTTGATCTTCCCTCTATATATATATATATATATTAGTATTAGCAAGCTCAACTTTTTTAACTTATGGGCTATGACCCAAATATATCCTTAAGCCCAATATAAAACCTAACATCTAACATAATCAAATCCGGCGCCTAAAACCATTAAACTATTAAACATATCGACACATTTGACATTGACGGTCTCCAAATTTTAAAATCCCTCAAGAACTCTATCAATCTATCGATCTTTCATAATCCATGGTCTGATTTCGGCGCACATCATCGAGATATCAATCAAGTGATTCAACCAACTAAGATTTGACTTCTATTTTATTTTGGTCAAAAACTCAATACTCAAACTAACGTGTTGTAATGCGTCATAACACATCTGTCATAACGAGTTACAACAGAAGTCAAACCTTAGAATGGGGTCACGGAGATTAATATGGCGGTGAACCCAAACTTTGATTCCATAAAGATGCTCATAACAAGTTAGTTAGAACTATCATCACAGTATTACAATGGTAACAACTTGTTTTATTACTTAGTATTTTTTGTGTTTTTTATTTAGCTATTTTGGTTGAACATTTCAAGTTTTATTCTTTGTAATTAGAATTTTAAAAACATCACATGTGTTATCTTGCAAACTCAAAATTTGAATATTCGAATATATATATATATATATATATATATATATATATAT